TTAACAAAAAATATTTTTTTTAAAGATTAAACATAAATATACATACAAAAAACAATGACAAATAAATATAAAGCACTAATAAAATGGATAAATGAACATTTAACATCACACTAACCTTTACTGACTTACCTTTATTGACCTGACTTGTTGGTGTATGGTACACACACAGGAGGCAAGAGGAAGGCAAGTTCATTATGCTTCAATATGACGCTTTTATCATCTCTACAGCTTATTTATCTGTCACAATTCATCTAATATGACATTATAAACAATACTAATAACATAGAAACATGATATATATTCTAGAATGAATTAAATATGTCATAATGTATGAGAGAGTAAATGGTGTAAGTGTTGTTGTTGGGTTTAAGGGCTGCCACTGAGAGAAGCTGTGCTGGTGGAGGTGGAGGCTTCTGCCACCATCACACTTGAACAATGTATTTTTTTTTTTCTTTTTTTCAACAAGTTGGTCGTCTCCCACCGAGGCAGGGTGACCCAAAAAAGAAAGAAAATCCCCAAAAAGAAAATACTTTCATCATCATTCAACACTTTCACCACACTCACACATTATCACTGCTTTTGCAGAGGTGCTCAGAATACAACAGTTTAGAAGCATATACATATAAAGATACACAACATATCCCTCCAAACTGCCAATATCCCAAACCCCTCCTTTAAAGTGCAGGCATTGTACTTCCCTTTTCCAGGACTCAAGTCCGACTATATGAAAATAACAATGTATGTAATTTATAAATAAGAAATATTTACATTTTACAGAGATAGTAGGTTGGTAGATAGCAACCACCCAGGGAGGTGCTACCGTCCTGCCAAGTGAGTGTAAAACAAGAGCCTGTAATTGTTTTACATGATGGTAGGATTGCTGGTGTCTTTTTTCTGCCTCATAAACATGCAAGATTTCAGGTACGTCTTGCTACTTCTTCTTACACTTAGGTCACACTACACATACATGTATACAAGCATATATATACAAACCCCTCTGGGGTTTCTTCCATTTTCTTTCTAGTTTCTTGTTCTTGTTTATTTCCTCTTACCTCCATGGGGAAGTGGAACAGAATTCTTCCTCCCTAAGCCATGCGTGTTGTAAGAGGCGACTAAAATGCCGGGAGCAAGGGGCTAGTAACCCCTTCTCCTGTATAAATTACTAAATTTAAAAAGAGAAACTTTTGTTTTTCTTTTTGGGCAACCCTGCCTCGGTGGGATATGGCTGGTTTGTTGAAAGAAAGATTTACTTTTATGCTTACACTTCTATATTTACACTTACCTTGGAGATGATGTTAGTTTAATTAGTTAGTTTGATGGAGGAGATGCTTGCAGAGGTTTAGGGTAGTGGAGGATAGCAGGCCAGCGTATGTTCAGTGGATACACACATCCAACAACATTTTAGAGTTACTTTCGTGTCGTTTTTCTATCGCTTACTTGCTTAACTTACTTGCTACATTGTTAATTCTACACTTTATTGCTGGCTGGCACTATAGCCTTTATCGATACCTGCTGCTTTAGTATCGTACACATCGTAGAATCAATGAATCACTGCAGAAGGCACAGTCTCCCCTCTCTCTTCCTCCTCCACTTTGGTACATTGCTACGAGTTTTTTCTTGAATTTTATTGCGTTTCTTTCCTAGAAACTTTCTTTGGGCCCATGGAGGCTTATTTAGCAGTTACAAGCACTAAAAATGTATCGCACGTACACGTGGAATCAACCACAACGGCTTGTAAACAATGGCACACTGGCTATAAATGGAGTCTTGGAGTGGCTGGGCCCGCTCAGGCCGCATGGACACGTTCGGGACAAAAGCCTTTAGACGAGTTTTTCGGCATTGGTAGAGCCAATATTTTGATGCCAAAGAGAGCCATTAGTCAATTTTGGCATTAGACGATGCCGCCGTTAGTTGAGGGTCCACTGTATAGCAATATGTCATTGATGTCAGCTAGGCCTATATATTTTGTACCTGTACTTGTAGAAATAAAGATTATTATTATGTTATTAAGGTATGTGGTAACAATGTTCACAACTTAACATGTTGAAGGTTTTAATGAAATAAAGTACTCTAAACATATGGTGACTAAAAAATTCAGTCAGAATGTTACATGTGAGCACCACTTGGCATGCAATATAGAAAGAGCCAAGGTTGTCTTAACAACAAAGAATTAGGAGAAAAAGAACAAATTGCATAATATTAAAAGAAATACTGTGTGCAATATATAAAAGAAAAAAGATTGGCAATTTGCCAATTGTTAATAAAATACTATCACATAACTTCATATATAGGAAACTGAATTGCACTTCTCATTTACATTAAAATTGTCTTTAGTGCCCCCATAACTATGATCATCTAATATATTTCAGTATACATCAATACTGTATCTCTTGTTAGCAATTATGTTATTCAGAATTCCTTTAACTCTTAAAAGGCTTTTATCAGAAAAGTCAATATTTTGGGAATATTACATAGAGTAAAATGCAGAAAAGTTACTTCTAATTTTACACTTCATGGCATTTAGGCACTTATTCAGACAGAGAATTATCTCCCCAAGTTTGAATTTTCAAAATGGAAAATGTGGTTATTACTTGGAACAATCTTTCTACCTTGAAATTTCCATGTATAAAAAACAAGAGTGCCCAATTTCTGCAATACAGAATTTTATACAATTTGGACATCCCTCTGCGCTCAGTAATGGGATAAAAATATATAACACTATACCAAATATTTCATCATGTCTATATTATTAATACGACCAAAACTAAGCGCTAAACCCGTCATGTTTATAACATACCACCATTAAGGATTAGCAATATAATACAGAGGAACATACAATTACTGGGACAATTAAAATAATAAAAATTCAAAATTATATAATCAATGCACAAATCCTGAAATAAAAGGAAATATAATGCTGATTTTAAAACATGAATCTTTAATATCCTAAAAACAAATAAATAATATATATATATATATATATATATATATATATATATATATATATATATATATATATATATTATATTATATATATATATATATATATATATATTATAATAATATATATATATATATATAATATATATATATATATATATATATATATATATATATTCAGTTGCCGTGTTCCTTCCTCAAGTGAATGTGACCGGACCTGACTAGGTTGGGGCATTGGCTTGAGCCAGTAGGAGACTTGGACCTGCCTCACATGGGCCAGTAGGCATGCTGCAATGTTCCTTCTTATATATACATGCGCGCGTGCGTGTGCGTGTGCGTGTGCGTGTGTGTGTGTGTGTGTGTTGTGTGTGTGTGTGTGTGTGTGTGTGTGTTGAAAGAAGTGAATGTTTTCAGACATTTAGGAGTTGACGTGTCAGCGGATGGATTTATGAAGGATGAGGTTAATCACAGAATTGATGAAGGAAAAAAGGTGAGTGGTGCGTTGAGGTATATGTAGAGGCAAAAAATATTATCTATGGAGGCAAAGAAGGGAATGTATGAAAGTATAGTAGTACCAGCACTCTTATATGGATGCGAAGCTTGGGTGGTAAATGCAGCAGCGAGGAGACGGTTGGAGGCAGTGGAAATGTCCTGTCTAAGGGCAATGCGTCGTGTAAATATTATGCAGAAAATTCGGATGTGTGGAAATTAGGAAAAGGTGTGGAGTTAATAAAAGCATTAGTCAGAGGGCAGAAGAGGGGTTGTTGAGGTGGTTTGGTCATTTAGAGAGAATGGATCAAAGTAGAATGACATGGAGAGCGTATAAATCTATAGGGCAAGGAAGGCGGGGTAGGGGTCGTCCTCGAAATGGTTGGAGAGAGGGGTAAAGGAGGTTTTGTGGGCGAGGGGCTTGGACTTCCAGCAAGCGTGCATGAGCGTGTTAGATAGGAGTGAATGGAGACGAGTGATACTTGGGACCTGACGATCTGTTGGAGTGTGAGCAGGGTAATATTTAGTGAAGGGATTCAGGGAAACCGGTTATTTTCATATAGTCGGACTTGAGTCCTGGAAATGGGAAGTACAATGCCTGCACTTTAAAGGAGAGGTTTGGGATATTGGCAGTTTGGAGGGATATGTTGTGTATCTTTATACGTATATGCTTCTAAACTGTTGTATTCTGAGCACCTCTGCAAAAGCAGTGATAATGTGTGAGTGTGGTGAAAGTGTTGAATGATGATGAAAGTATTTTCTTTTTGGGGATTTTCTTTCTTTTTTGGGTCACCCTGCCTCGGTGGGAGACGACCGACTTGTTGAAAAAAAAAAATATATATATATACACACACACACATATATATATATATATATATATATGGCCAATTGAAGCCTACTTCACAACTTAAATTCAATTAAGATTTCTATCCTGGGAGACCACTACAGATGTCATACTATCAACTGAAGAAGAAAATGGCAAGGAAATCCAAGAAGAATTTAACAAACTTTTTAAAGACGATGTCTCAGAGGAAACAGGTAATGCCAGGAAAGCCTTGGGAAATATACACTGAACAGGACTGGACAATGTATACAGATATAAAAAAAAAATTTAAGTTGATGGAGCTGGATACTTCAAATACAAAGGGACATGACAAGGTGTCACCATGGATTCTACAAGAGGGATCAGGAACACTGTCCAAACCAGTTGAAATCTACAATAAGTCAAGGACACTGGACAGTTGCCAGAGATCTGGAAAACAGCTAGGTAGTATCTATATTTAAGAAAGGAGAAAAGCAGGAAGTGCTGAACTACAGATTAGTTTCACTGACTGTAAATCATGCAAGGTAATGGAGAAGAAACACACTTAGAGAGGTGTTTTCATAAACAATAACCAGCAAATCTTGTCTTACCTACCTGTTGGAATTCTATGACAAAGTAATGGATGCGAGACAGGAGACACGGGAATGGGTGGTTTGTGCTTTCTTAGACTGAAGAAGGCATTTGATGCTGTACCCCACAAGATAAGGGCAAAAACTTGAGATACAAGCAGAAATAACAGGGAACATACTCTGGTGATCAAAGAGCACCTCAGTGATTGTCCGGGAAGAGCTGTTAGAATGGGGTAAAGTAACAAGCAGTGTATCAATGAGGACTGGTATCAAGATTAGTACTGTTTCTGGTTTATGTGAATGACATACCAGATGAGACAGATTTTGATGTATCCCTGTTTGCTGATGTAAAATTAGAATAGAGAATAAAAATAGATAAGGATAGGGGGTAAAAAAATGCAGAAATTGATCTGGACAACTGCAAGATTGGTCAGATAAATGGTTACTGGGATTCAACCCCAGAAAATGCAAGTTTATGAAGACTGGGGAAGTGGCCAGAAGACAGAGCACAGAGAATATGCTTTCATGGAAAAAGAGGCCACACACCTCACTCAAGGAGAAAGACCTAGGGGTGAGCACAGTGCCTAGCATATTGCCAGAGGCTCACATCAATCAAATAATTTCTGCAGCTAATGCTTGTCAGGTAAATCAAAGAGTAGCTTTCAGGAACCTCAACAGTGGACCATTCCAGGCCCATCTTGGAGTATGCAGCTTTGGCATGGAACCCACACCTATAAAAGCATGTTAAGAAATTGAACATGAAGGGGTATGCAAGGAGACGACTTTCAGAGCCACGAGAAGAGGCTAATGCAACTGAATCTTACAATACAGGGGGACAGAAGAACCAAGGAGATATGATAATATACAAAATATTCTGAGGAACTGACAAGATAGGCAGATCACAGAGATAGGCTGTTTGAGGGGTAGGAAATAGGTACATAAGAGCACAGCTGGAAGCTCAAGACAGAGACAAGCCACAGGGATATCAGGAAGTGTTTCTATAGTCTCAGATGGTTGGGAAGTGAATGACCTCAGCAAAGTAGTGGTGGAGATAGGCTCCATATGCAGATTTAAGAGCAGGTATGACACAGCCAAAGCAGCACACTGACAGGTGGGGCCAGGAGCTAGGATTTGACCCATGCAATTACAGACAAGTACACACATGCAAGTACTAACATTAATATAATAAGGCAATCACTCAACAGCTACACTTCATGCAATATACACTTAATACGCTTATGGCAGAAAAGACGTTCAATAATACGGAGTATAATCTCAAAATACAAGTCAGTTCCAATTTAGCCCCAATAGTGATATTATGAATTCTTATACAATACACTGTTTATGTCAATCACATAATTATTTCCAAATAATGAATACCACCTTTTAGAATAATGAAAGCATAAAGTAACATTCATATACCAAGGGCATACAAAATGTTCTAAAATACTGTACTAACAAACACTGCTTAACTATAGCAGAGAATTTATCATTTAAAAGAACTTTTAATATGATCAATATCATACAGTACAACGATAAATTATGAACTCAAGAATTAACTGAATTTTGACAAGCTTGTGAACCTTCAATTAAATGTATTCAAAACCTAAGAGTACAAATGAAAATGCAAGACCATAATTAACAAACCGATATACTGTACTTAAAGACAAGAAAAAACATGTTAAATGAATACAATATATGCTGGTAATTAATATGATACAGATGTATCCATGATTTAATTTTATATAACTAGAGCATCTAAAACTAAGAAATAGTAGCAAGGTTCAAAATAAAACTTCAGGCAAAAAACTTTTTCAAAAGACAGCAGTTTTATATATAATTTTGGTTCAAATCAGCATGCTATTCCTAAAAAAAACAAAGCAAATTAACTCATATTTATGCTTCTACATGTTCAGTATGCTACTTTTAATCTAATAAGAGCACCATAATGCACCACAGTGATTCATACACGATCTGCAAACATTACATCCACCATAAAAGCATTTAGTTTTAAAATTTTCAAGTATCATAAAATATGCCTTTTACCATCTGTATGAGGCTTGCACACTGGCATGTATCACATATGAAAGATAAACACATCCACTGTTTAGTTTAGTGAAAATCATACCCTAGACTAAGGCAACAATAAATGATCTCCCAAGTACAGTACTTGCATGAACCTGGTCCATCAAAATTCATTTTCATTCAAGAGGCACCTCAACCAGACAGGGAGCAGTACTTCTTTCAAATGCAGAGAATGATACTTAAGATTCAAAATTACACTGACAAAGCACAGTTCACTGCAATGACAGATCTTTGGAAAATAGGAGGCTTAGTCAAGATTTATTATTTTCATCTCCAATTCATAAAAAGATACTTACGATCCACAAAGTGTCGATCATTGTATTTATCATACTTATGGTGTCGCGAACTTCTGTGGTGCCGCTCTAAAAATAAAAATTAACAAAACATACAATAAACTGAATAATAAAAAACATAAGAGATGGGATGAAATCATCCATCTAATGAACTCATTATAAAGCATGAAAAAATATTATTGAAAAGCATAGTTTACCATGAAAAACAAAAGGAAAAACTTAGAAGAACTATTTCTAAAGCAGTGTGTATAACACTAATTAAGAGACCTTCAACCTATGGTAAAAATATATTTAAGGTCAACTACAGCTATCATTCATCATGCACCTTATTTTTCTATTAGAAAATAACAATTCTGTCAGAGTACAATGGAAATATTCAAACCCTTAGTAAAGTTGTACAGTAATATTGAGCAGAAATTCTTAATTTCTTATGAACCAAGACCCAGATTTAAATTAAGGTAAGGAAATGCAAAGATTCCTACTGCTCATTCCAAAAGTTTGTAATAAAACTAATCCTCAAAGTACAAGGTAGATTCCAATCACCTTTTATACTGAATGTAAATATCCACAAACATTCAAAATTACCACTCTGTGATACTAATGTTTTCATTACCTTAACCTTTGACTGTTTCAGGCCCCTTTCTGAAACTGTCATTCTATGTTGCTAAATTTTTGAAAAAAAAAAAAAAAATTATTTTTTCTTATCAAATGATAGAGAATCTTTTCCCGATGGTAATGACACCAAAAGTTCGAAATTTGGTCGAAAACTCTTGGAATTACGCTCCCGCGAAGTTAGCGGTCTCGGCGACAAATGCGTATTGGCGATTTCGCCGACTTTGAGCCCTATTTCAGTCAATTCCGTTGTTCCAGTTGACCAAACTCATAGCTATTTCTTTAGAACTCCATTTTATCTATCAGCTGAGTACAAGAAACCTCCCATTTACCAATTTGGACTACCCAATATTGTGGTCAGAAATTGGCAATTTGGCCAATTTCACGCAAACTAAAAAAGATGCCAATTTCAAAATAGGGTCCAGAATAAACAAGGTAGACATTCTTGGCACTAAAATAACATATCCTCTGTTCATTAGTCACATCTCTAGGCCCCTCTTATATTATTATTGCTTTCTATTTTGATTTTTTATTCATACAAAAAAATACAAAATTTACTGTTATGCAGACTACTGCATTATTGTAAAAATGGTATAAATAATATCAGTGCACTAGTGAAAGAATATTAGACTCCCCAGTTGATGTGTATTGGATGTGTGGTGTGATTTGTTTACTCCTGAACATTGGTAAAAATCAAACATTTCCGCTACTTTGAGCTCAGTTTCAAGGTCGTTTTCATCACCAAAGTAATGAAAATCATCTCTATTTCTGTAATATGTTTTCCATTTTATCACCTAAGACCATGAAAATGCAAATACATCGATAAATACTATACGAAAATACACCTCAAAGTCAGCGTTTTAATCCAAAAAAACAATGTTTTTTTTTTCTCATTACACACTGTGTGCTGCAGGATTTTTTTTTATGTGGTGCACACTGACCACACAGACCCATTCTCTCACATGTGGGCCTACCAGCTTTCTTCCGCTTGATTTTTAGCCGCTAGAATTATTGAGTATACATACGTCTGAAACACTGGCTCGTAAGATGTATATATACGACCAAAACAGTCAAAGGGTTAAATAAAAGTCACAGGATTGTATGTGCCTTTTGACCTAGATTAATCTTTCACAAATAAATAAATAAATAAATAAATAAATATATCTTTTTTTTTTTCAACAAACCAGCCATATCCTACCAAGGCAGGGTAGCCCAAAGAGAAATGAAAGTTTCTCTTTTTAAATTTATAATTTGTACAGGAGAAGAGGTTACTAGGCCCTTGCTCCCAGCATTTTAGTCATCTCTTACAACACGCATGGCTTACGGAGGAAGAATTCTGTTCCATTTCTCCATGGAGATAAGAGGAAATGAACAAGAAAGAAAATAGAAGAAAACCCAGAGGGTTCTACACATACATGCTTGTAATGTATGTGTAGTGACCCAAATGTAAGTAGA